ACCATGTCTTCCCCTACCCTCAGATACAACCATGTCTTCCCATACCCTCAGATACTACCATGTCTTCCCATACCCTCAGATACTACCATGTCTTCCCATACCCTCAGATACTACCATTTCTTCCCCTACCCTCAGATACTACCATGTCTCCCCATACCCTCAGATACTACCATGTCTTCCCATACCCTCAGTTACTACCATGTCTTCCCATACCCTCAGATACTACCATGTCTTCCCATACCCTCAGATACTACCATGTCTTCCCATACCCTCAGATACTACCATGTCTTCCCCTACCCTCAGATACTACCATGTCTTCCCCTACCCTCAGATAATACCATGTCTTCCCATACCCTCAGATACTACCAAGTCTTCCCCTACCCTCAGATACTACCATGTCTTCCCATACCCTCAGATACTACCATGTCTTCCCATACCCTCAGATACTACAATGTCTTCCCATACCCTCAGATACAACCATGTCTTCCCCTACCCTCAGATACTACCATGTCTTCCCATACCCTCAGATACTACCATGTCTTCCTCTACCCTCAGATACTACCATGTCTTCCCATACCCTCAGATACTGCAATGTCTTCCCATACCCTCAGATACTACCATGTCTTCCCATACCCTCAGATACAACCATATCTTCCCCTTCCCTCAGATACTACCATGTCTTCCCATACCCTCAGATACTACCATGTCTTCCTCTACCCTCAGATACTACCATGTCTTCCCATAACCTCAGATACAACCATGTCTTCCTCTACCCTCAGGTATAACCATGTCTTCCCATACCCTCAGATACTACCATGTCTTCCCCTACCCTCAGATACAACCATGTCTTCCTCTACCCTCAGGTATAACCATGTCTTCCCATACCCTCAGATACTGCCATGTCTTCCCCTACCCTCAGATACTACCATCTCTTCCCGTACCCTCAGATACTACCAGGTCTTCCCCTACCCTCAGATTCTACCATGTCTTCCCATACCCTCAGATACTACCATGTTATCCCCTTCCCTCAGATACTACCATGTCTTTCCCTTACCCTCAGATACTACCATGTCTTCCCATACCCTCAGATACAACCATGTCTTCCCCTACCCTCAGATACTACCATGTCTTCCCATACCCTCAGATACTACCACATCTTCCTCTACCCTCAGATACTACCATGTCTTCCCATACCCTCAGATACAACCATGTCTTCCCCTACCCTCAGATACAACCATGTCTTCCCATACCCTCAGATACTACCATGTCTTCCCCTACCCTCAGATACTACCATGTCTTCCCATACCCTCTGATACTACCATGTCTTCCCCTACCCTCAGATTCTACCATGTCTTCCCATACCCTCAGATACTACCATGTCTTCCCCTACCCTCAGATACTAACATGTCTTCCCGTACCCTCAGATACTACCATGTCTTCGCATACCCTCAGATACAACCATGTCTTCCCAGACCCTCGGATACAACCATGTCTTCCTCTACCCTCAGATACAACCATGTCTTCCCCTACTCTCAGATACTACCATGTCTTCCCCTACCCTCAGATACAACCATGTCTTCCCATACCCTCAGATACTACCATGTCTTCCCATACCCTCAGATACTACCATGTCTTCCCATACCCTCAGATACTACCATTTCTTCCCCTACCCTCAGATACTACCATGTCTCCCAACACCCTCAGATACTACCAGGTCTTCCCATACCCTCAGATACTACCATGTCTTCCCATACCCTCAGATACTACCATGTGTTCCCATACCCTCAGATACTACCATGTCTTCCCATACCCTCAGATACTACCATGTCTTCCCCTACCCTCAGATACTACCATGTCTTCCCCTACCCTCAGATAATACCATGTCTTCCCATACCCTCAGATACTACCAAGTCTTCCCCTACCCTCAGATACTACCATGTCTTCCCATACCCTCAGATACTACCATGTCTTCCCATACCCTCAGATACTACAATGTCTTCCCATACCCTCAGATACAACCATGTCTTCCCCTACCCTCAGATACTACCATGTCTTCCCATACCCTCAGATACTACCATGTCTTCCTCTACCCTCAGATACTACCATGTCTTCCCATACCCTCAGATACTACAATGTCTTCCCATACCCTCAGATACTACCATGTCTTCCCATACCCTCAGATACAACCATGTCTTCCCCTTCCCTCAGATACTACCATGTCTTCCCATACCCTCAGATACTACCATGTCTTCCTCTACCCTCAGATACTACCATGTCTTCCCATAACCTCAGATACAACCATGTCTTCCTCTACCCTCAGGTATAACCATGTCTTCCCATACCCTCAGATACTACCATGTCTTCCCCTACCCTCAGATACAACCATGTCTTCCTCTACCCTCAGGTATAACCATGTCTTCCCATACCCTCAGATACTGCCATGTCTTCCCCTACCCTCAGATACTACCATCTCTTCCCGTACCCTCAGATACTACCAGGTCTTCCCCTACCCTCAGATTCTACCATGTCTTCCCATACCTTCAGATACTACCATGTTATCCCCTTCCCTCAGATACTACCATGTCTTCCCTTACCCTCAGATACTACCATGTCTTCCCATACCCTCAGATACAACCATGTCTTCCCCTACCCTCAGATACTACCATGTCTTCCCATACCCTCAGATACTACCACATCTTCCTCTACCCTCAGATACTACCATGTCTTCCCATACCCTCAGATACAACCATGTCTTCCCCTACCCTCAGATACAACCATGTCTTCCCATACCCTCAGATACTACCATGTCTTCCCCTACCCTCAGATACTACCATGTCTTCCCATACCCTCTGATACTACCATGTCTTCCCCTACCCTCAGATTCTACCATGTCTTCCCATACCCTCAGATACTACCATGTCTTCCCCTACCCTCAGATACTAACATGTCTTCCCGTACCCTCAGATACTACCATGTCTTCGCATACCCTCAGATACAACCATGTCTTCCCAGACCCTCGGATACAACCATGTCTTCCTCTACCCTCAGATACAACCATATCTTCCCCTACTCTCAGATACTACCATGTCTTCCCATACCCTCAGATACAACCATGTCTTCCCCTACCCTTAGATACAACCATGTCTTCCCCTACCCTCAGATACTACCATGTCTTCCCATACTCTCAGATACTACCATGTCTTCCCCTACCCTTAGATTCTACCATGTCTTCCCATACCCTCAGACACTACCATGTCTTCCCCTACCCTCAGATTCTACCATGTCTTCCCATACCCTCAGGTACTACCATGTCTTCCCCTACCCTCAGATACTAACATGTCTTCCCGTACCCTCAGATACTACCATGTCTTCGCATACCCTCAGATACAACCATGTCTTCCCAGACCCTCGGATACAACCATGTCTTCCTCTACCCTCAGATACAACCATGTCTTCCCCTACTCTCAGACACTACCATGTCTTCCCATACCCTCAGATACAACCATGTCTTCCCCTACCCTTAGATACAACCATGTCTTCCCCTACCCTCAGATACTACCATGTCTTCCCATACTCTCAGATACTACCATGTCTTCCCCTACCCTTAGATTCTACCATGTCTTCCCATACCCTCAGACACTACCATGTCTTCCCCTACCCTCAGATACTACCATGTCTTCCCCTACCCTCAGATGCTACCATGTCTTCCCCTACCCTTAGATACAACCATGTCTTCACCTACCCTCAGGTACTACCATGACTTCCCATCCCCTCAGATACTACCATGTCTTCCCATACCCTCAGATACTACCATGTCTTCCCCTACCCTCAGATTCTACCATGTCTTCCCATACCCTCAGATACTACCATGTCTTCCCCTACCCTCAGATACTAACATGTCTTCCCCTACCCTCAGATACTACCATGTCTTCCCATACCCTCAGATACAACCATGTCTTCCCCTACCCTCAGATACTACCATGTCTTCCTCTACCCTCACATACTAGCATATCTTCCCCTACCCTCAGATACTACCATGTCTTCCCCTACCCTCAGATACTACCATTTCTTCCCCTTCCCCAGATAACCATTTCTTTCCCTTTCCCCAGAGATAAAATTCATTTTTATCCCCAAAGGGTCAAACTCCCCAAGGGGACTCCCCGTGTAAAGCTTTTTTTTCTTATCTGCTAAAGCAAGAAAATGATCTTTTCCAGCCCTTTTCCTGCTCCTGAAACACCGCCCTTTTTTCCTTCACAGGTGAGTAAAGTAAGGTCAGGTTTCCATAATCTCTCTTCCCATTATTTTTTTCCCCGGAATATCAACCAGCAACACTTTCTTCCCGTAAGATTTATTTTCCCCCTAGGGTAGTAAACAATCCCACTTTCTTTCTCTAGGGTAGTAAACAATCCCACTTTCTTTCTCTAGGGTAGTAAACAATCCCACTTTCTTTCTCTAGGGTAGTAAACAATCCCACTTTCTTTCTCTAGGGTAGTAAACAATCCCACTTTCTTTCTCTAGGGTATTAAACAATTCCATTTTCTTTCTCTGGGATAGTAAACAATCCCACTTTCTTTCTCTAGGGTAGTAAACAATTCCATTTTCTTTCTCTAGGATAGTAAACAATCCCACTTTCTTCCCAAGAATAGTTAACAATCCCACTTTATTTCCCTAGGATTGTAAGCAATCTCACTTTACTTCCCTAGGATAGTAAATAATCCCACTTTCTTACCCTAGAGTAGCAAGCAATCTCACTTTCTTCCCTAGGATTGTAAAAATCCCACTTTATTTCCCTAGGATAGTAATTATTATTATTAAAATTATGGGGGGGGGGCGCTACACCCGTAGGATTATAAAGCGCATGAGGGGGTGGAAGATACTCAGGCTCAATTCAGGGAACTGGAGCACAAATCCAATTCCCTAGATCAAGAGCCCCTCACTAGCGTCAAGGACCCTCCCTTGAGGGGCCTAGGATAGTAAACAATCCCACTTTCCTCTCACAG